AAACCAACAAACTCATAAAATCATACCTCCTTCAAAAACCAACTTATTCAATGCCCAAACTTCGACACGAAAGACTCTCCAAAAAGCCTAGTTATAGAAAACATCGTCCCCCTGGAATCTGAGGTCTTCCAAACGGGCCCTTTTCCTGCCAAAAGGGTATGACGGCTGCGGAAAACAGAGGGAAAAATTTGTCAACGGTCTTAATGCTCACACCCCACCCCAGCCGGGGATGGAAGGACATAAAAGAATTAAGGGGAACAGAACTGGGCAATCGCGCACCCCCCATCCCTTACATGGGCGAAAGAGTTAGTCAGTCTTGGGTGCCATCACTTGACAACTCCCAGAACCCCCAGGGAAAATTTAAAAGACAAATAGATGCAAGGGAGAGATTGTTTGCTTTATGCTCGAAGGCAGATGATTGCAACATTCCCCTTTTATAATATGAACTTGAGCAGCAAAAAAGGGAAAATCCCGTCGCCTGGGGGGATGGTTTAATACAAATACTCGATTGCTGTGTGGTCCAGGGAATCCTTCTTTAATTAATAACATGACACGTAAGGGGACTCCCTCTTTTTTGGGCCAACACCCACATTCCAATTTCCCAAGCCCAATCAACAAAAAGCTTTCGCCCTTCTTTACTAGTGCTTGTGTAAAACATTTGAGGAAGTTCTAATCGCTCATGAAAAAATCAAAAAATTTTTGTCTCCCCGGGTTCAGGGTTTTTTATGGATGGAAGGGCGTGCTCATTGCTAGCCACCTTTCCCCCACCCCACATGACACTCAACCGACCTTCCTTGACCTTTTAAACCCCTTTCGATGTAGCCAACCGACATGTAATCATTAAGAACTTGCCCAAAGGATGTTTGGGGGAGGCTTTCCCTGGATTAAAAGGCTACCGTCCAAAGAAAAAGTCTGGTTGTTCCGGACAAGAAGTATACCCAAAGACTTTTAATTAGGAACCCCCCGGGGGGTGCTCCCCCCACTGTTCAATTTCTTATTAAGATTTCTTAATGCTATGCCTAGTCAGCCCTCATTATGTGATTTTGTTTTTCTGGGAAAAATAAGATTCACACCACCGGGTCTCCAACACCCAAAACATTCTTTAAACTGTACTAAACCTCGTTAGGACCCGGGGGGTTTATAATCTCACTGATAAAACAAGTACTCCCAAAAGGGTCCTCCTCGACAGAGAGGGACAGTTCTCAATCCAATTGCATATGGGTCCTTCTTTAAAATGTAAAGGGGGACAGGTTTTTCAGGTTTTGAGGTTCCACTACTTGGACCTTTTTTAAAAGACTTTGTCGCCAATACAAAAAGACTAAGAGCACTTAGAGTTTTGGCAGGGCTTCACCCCCGGTAGGTGCAAAGTTAAAATTTGAAAATGATTTTTCTTGCTTATATTAATCATTGGTTGATTTTTTTCTGCGCCACTAATTGCTCTTGTGTCTGACGGAAGCTTGGAGGGCGGAAAAACTGCAGAACGAACAATGAGGGCATTTTAAAGGGTGCCCTCAAATGCCAAATTTTTAAAAATCAAAAAGAACTTGATATTTCCCAAACATAGAGACGTGTTACGAAAAAAAATATCCCAATTGGGGGGTTAAAAGCTCAGGCAAGCCATTCAAACCCCTGCAAGAAGCCCTCCAAAATTTCCTCGACGGTGAACACCCTCCAATGGGTCGAAAAAAAAGGAACTGCCCCCATGAAACGAACATGATCTATGTCAAGTAAGGCAACACGGCACTTCCCCCTCCATGGAATATTACCCCTTTCCCAAAATACCTTCCTCCCTTTCCCCCCCAAAATCTTTTTAAATCACAACCAAAACTTCGCCTTGAAGCCAAACATGAGGCCTTAAGCGTATTTAAAACTTAAACCCCCGCACACCTCTCGCAATTATTTTCGGTGGTTTTGTTACCAATCCACGGTGCAGGGAGTGCGCTGTTTCGTACAGGTGATGGCTCCTTAAGGGGCATTCCCCAACTTGCAAACTGCACTGGTAAGAGCTAGGGATGAAGTGCGGCTCATGGCCCGAAGTACCCCCCTTTTTGAAAGGCAGAACACAAAAAGTTTCCACACTGGGGAGAACACCTACAACCAGGAAGATTAAAAAGACGTAAAATACTGGAGGGCGTTAATGAAAAACCAAAAATACGAATAGAAAATTACAGGCCAGCTCAAGTGGAAAGTGACAAATTCCCGAGGCATAAAGGGGCCCCACCTTTTCGTTAAAGAAAAAACAAAAGGTGGACCCAAAAAA